TATTATAAAAATTTAAATATCTATATAACTATTTATTATCATGGTATTTTATTTTTATTTATTCATTTAAAAAGTCAATACTGTCGTTCTGTATTTAAAAAAAAAAAAAACGCTTTTACACTTAAATATAAAATATGTATTTTTTTTTCGTCAATAAATGTATTTTCATTATTTACAATATTCATTCAGGCTATTCTTTTAATATGTTTTTAAAAATTTTATTTCTTATATTTAGAAACCCGTTTCTCTAATGGACAAGCATTTGGGAACAGTACTAACTATATTGAGCGCCCGAGACGATTCATACCTTAAAATGACAAATAGGCAAGCATTTTACATTCGAAAAAAAATTTAATAAAAAAAAAACCGAAAAAAACCGTCAGGAACATCGTTCTAGTAGTGAACTATTTACATTTCTCATAATAATCATAATTATATATTTTTATTAGTCCTTAATTTTAAAAATATCACAAATGAAAATTTTCAAACTATATAATAATAATAATGTATGTATATATATATTTTTTTACAATTATCGTATGAGCAATCCTTTGTTTACACTACAGTTGGTCATGATTTTTTTCCTTAATAAAAGCGCTGCCAAATGTTAACCGAACTTATTATATTTCTCAGTCAGAATAAAGTTACATAAAGTCAAAAGAAGATACCTTTAGAATTGAAGTGGCTTAACTAAAAGCTTTAAGAAAAGGAGTTTCATGCTTCGAACCATAGATAAGCATCTCAAGCACTCAACAAAAGTGTTTACGGGCGTCGGCCACTAGATGGCTTCGCTTCGATTAGTTTCTCATTGCTCCTGTAGATGGCAGTAACATATTACCTATCCTATATTTTATTTTTAATGAAGGATTTTGTAAATTTTCAGAAACCACAAATCGATAAAATTTAATCAATTTGTCTATAACAAATAAAGACTTGAATGATAATTTTTTCTGTGTTTAGTTTCAGGGCTCTGCTTCGAACGTCTTAAAAAACATGTATTATTAATTTATTATATTCTATCAGTTTATAAAATTAAAGTCTCTTTTAGTCTAGAAAAAGACAAAGATACGATTTTCGTCTCTGTTCAAATCGATCGCAACTATTAAAATAGAAAAAAAAAATTCAATTACACTTTTGGAGTTTACTAATAATAATAAAAAAACAAAGATTATGAATTAAGTCACTTCAATTCTAAAGGAAATTAAAACACGGGAGTCAAGAACGGTCTCACCCAAATAATTATTAAATTAAATATGAGAATTAATACTTACAGAGTGCTGGCGACACGTGTGTATATTCATTTTAACTTAATTTAATACATGAGTTTTGTGCGCGTCCATGGCACACTTTAGTTCCCACATCCCGTACTAAACGTAAAATAATAGTACATACATAATTAATAATATACAGGTTGTCCCAGAAAGAATGGATAATCCTGAAACATCTCATAGTAGAGCTGTTGGGGACACGAAACAAAAAATAAAAAACACGTGTGACACTCGGGAACTGCTGCGGTAAAGCTATTGCATAGCATTTTTTATCAAATTATGCAATTATAATTAGACAGTAATAATTTAATATTAAAACAATAATAAAATAAGACCACCATATATTTATAAACATTAAAAAAAGCAAAACGTTAACTGTCCCCTTCACACTCATAAGCAAGACCGCGCGAGAGAGAGATGGGTAAAATTTTCATGATGCGCATGCAGTGCAACGTCACGCTGCGCGCTCATTCACAAACACTACACAAGCACGTGTGAATGTGTTGAACGCGATCTACATGGTAGGCGGAGTGGGGGGGTGTTAGGTTTTATTTTCGTTACGGAATTTCTCGATTCGGTCTCCGCGCTCAATGCCTGCGATAAAAGCTATGCAATATCTTAAAAAAATATTTGTTAGGTAGTACCCAAATTAAAAATAAAGAAAAAATACCAAACTATTAATGATTGAAATTTAAGTTCAGATTAAGTTTCATAAAAAATTACAGTAGCTAGCGATTTCCTGCATATTCCTTATTCCTTATTCATGTAGAATATTATAACACCAAAAAGCCTATGGATTTCATTTATTTGTAGCTGTTGTATACTCCAGAAACGCAGAGCAGTATAGAAAATATCAACTTTTTTAAAAAATACGTAAATTGGGTACTACCTGAGAATTTTTTATTTATATTTTTTTTTAGTCCCCAGTTGCTCTACTATGAGGTGTTTCAGGATTATCCATTCATTCTGGGACACCCTGTATATCGAGGGGTGAAAGGCTATTCGGTTTAAGCGTCATTTCGCTTAACACGCGACATTTATCTTTGTAATTAAAGGTCCGTTTTATTTGGTATTAGCATCAACAGTTCGATGTTTTTAGTTGAACTTCAATTAAATTTACTCCATACTCAAATAGTTCAAGTGTTTTTGTAATATTTTTTCCACATTTTAAAACTCCAAATGGCTCTTCTGTAAGGTTGCAAAAATGTCACATAATTCACCCCTCGGCATGTAAATCTTAGCTCAATTTTGTAATTGCATTTTTGCGTAACTTTTACTGCGTAACTTTATCTTTTTTTAACGTAATAGAACGACGTGTTTCGTTTAAAAAATTGTGTAAAATAATTTTGTATTTAGCGTTCACATAAAAGACCTTTGTTTGATTTAAGAAACAAAAAAAATTAATAGTAGTCACCCACCGCAAACATTAAATTTAAATTTGTACTTTTAACACAATAGAATTGAACTTAAATTTTATTCATAAGAATAATTATATGAAAAAATTTGAAAACACGTAATCTAAGTAATAAATAATTCATAAATAAATTAATACGTTGTGAATTCAAACTAATTTATCGACAACAGCTGTTCACTAGGATTCGCGCGCAGCCGCCATCTTGGCTAAACTGTCAATGGCGCTAATTCATTTCATTTTACGCAATTATTATTGTATCTACTAATTTTTTTTTAAGTTTCCTAAAAACCGCGACAATTAAAGCCAAATGAAACGTACCACAGCTGAAACAATAATATTTTGACCGTCTTTTATCTTTTTCCTACATTATTCTATCTAATCGTATATTTAATTAGCAGATTTAATGCGATAGTGACGAAGGTACATTATAAATACAGTCTATAATTCATATTACAGTAATCCCCCTTAAAACACGGTACTGTTGTAACGCATTTTCATATTACGCGAATTCAATCACTCCTATATAACGCGGGGATGCGCGTGAAATTTATAATGATCTGTACAGTTCATAATTAATATCGTAGCTTTTTATTTTATTTTTGAAGTGAAACTTCCTTATCGGCGTTGGAAAAAAATTTACCGTCACATTTTTCGGTTACGCGTCACATTTTTCCGTTACGCGCCATCTTTTTTGTATTCATGTCTATGATAATAAAATCCTTTTGTTTAAACTTTATCTAATTTAACTTTTTTGTATTCATGTCTATGATAATAAAATCCTTTTGTTTAAACTTTATCTAATTTAANCCTACCACCAGTAAATTTGCACATTGTGTCAATTGTGTTGTTATAAAATAAAATAAATTGTATTTATTAAATTTGTGTTCTTAGTTAGTTGAATTATAGAAACATTCGTCATTGTATTGTTTTTGTCATTGTATTGTCAAACATATTTGTATACGAGTATATCAGTCGTCTATTATCAAAGGTGGCAATCTGTGCATTTGGACAAAAAAATGTTATTGATATGTCAATACAGATTGATTTGAATATAATCGTCTCCTTCAAAGAATACGGTTCAAAACCTGCATTAAATAAAGGTTAATACTTAACCTGTTATTTATCTAAGATGTCGTTCAGAAGAGTTTTGTGACTGCCAATGGAATACAAAGTCAATAATTCGTTTTTCTGATTTACCAATAATTGTCCAAAAGTCACATTGCCGGCTTTGATAATAGTCGACTCATATATTATATTTATACAAAACGCGTTATATGAGGTCGTCCAAGCGTCTTACCGGAGAATACTACTACAACGCGTTTCCTATAACGCGGAAACGATCTACCGTGTTATAGGGAGGATTAGTGTTATAGTATTTTTCGTATTTTAAATTTAGCTATTACAGTTTTTTTTGGCGTCATGTAAGAAGTGTGAAACTGTTAAAAAAAAGAAAGAGTTGAATTGCGGTTCAATTAATCTCTTGGGTTAATGGCGTTTCCTTTTGTAGATTTCGCCAATGTCAAGTGTATATAATACTCTGCTTTGTAAAGCGGGCTTCGAGAACGAACAAGGTCACAGATTGTAATTAAGAATTAAGTGAGTAGCTAAGAATCGAATTGCGTTTCAAGTCTACAGGGCGTAGCGTAGCGAAGTCGTCGTGGCCTAACGGATAAGACGTCCGATGTATTCGTGTTGAGCGATGCACCGGTGTTCGAATCTCAGGCGGGTACCAATTTTTCTAATGAAATACGTACTCAACAAATGTACACGATTGACTTCCACGGTGAAGGAATAACATCGTGTAATAAAAATTAAACCCGCAAAATTATAATTTGTGTAATTACTCATGGTAGGACCTCTTGTGAGTCCTTGCGGGTAGGTACCACCACCCCGCCTATTTCTACCGTGAAGCAGTAATGCGTTTCGGCTTGAAGGGCGGGGCGGCCGTTGTAACTATACTTGAGACCTTAGAACTTATCTCAAGGTGAGATGCGCATTCACGTTATCTATGGGCTCCAGTAACCACTTAACACCAGGTGGGCTGTGAGCTTGTCCACCAATCTAAGCAATAAAGAAAAGTTAATATTTCACAGACAATCAATTGAAACGTCAATATTAAAATGGCGGCTTCCAAACGACTCCTTTGCCGGTTGGAAACGTTTGCAAAATTTTGATGTAATTTGGGGGAAACTTTATTAAATTTATTACTTAGATGGGTGAACGAGCTCACAGCCCACCTGGTGTTAAGTGGTTATTAAAGCCCATCGACATCTACAACGTAAATGCGTCACCCACCTAGATATATAAGTTAGTATATTTACAACGGCTGCCCCACACTTCAAACCGAAACGCATTACTGCTTCACGGCAGAAATGGGCAGGGTGGTGGACCTACCTACCCGTCGACTAACTATGGAAGGTACACTAGAACAATTAGCCCACATATGACGTCATGCATTGAGATTAATATTAGGAAACTGTTTTCGTTCTGTGTCTTGCTTTTGTGTTGTCATCTTGTTGCTGTTGCATTGTTGTTTTCATAATAATATTGGCGAGACCATTTTTAAGGGATTCTCAGGCAGTGCGTATGAGGTCTTGTCGTGGTAAGATTGGACTTTTTTACAGTGCCTATGAGACAAGATAGGCCTTAGATAAGACCGTTTTTTGAATGAACTCAAAATTTGGAAGTAGACTCCTCCCGCGCCGAGAAAGAAAACGCGGTTCTAACTGCTGCCCCAAAGGAAAAGTCGCGTGTGGTGGCTTTTTAAACCGCACAGAGTAGTCAATGTGTATTCATGTATATTTCAATGTTAAATATATTCGAAATACATAAACAAAAAGCGTTGCGCCAAAAAAAATGTGACCCACAAAATGAACGCTCACGTTTCGTGCGCCGGCAACACTGCTACCGAAAGTTGCCAGAGCACAAAAAGCGAAAAGACTTAAACTAACATAAATAATAAAAAAAACCGAGCTGAATTACTACAAGAGACAATAGTGTTTTACCGTAAAATATTATTATGTACAATTAATCATTTAATTTTCGTTTCATTTCAACATTGTTAAGTTCCAGCCTATCCTAAGAATGTACACATTCACAAATACCAAACATTTTGTGATATAGAAAAAAAAAAACAAAATAAAAAAAAACCTTTCGAAAAATCACAAAATGTTTCGCATATCTCCAAGATTATTTAGCAATACTGACAGTTCCGTGATCAGTGTTGCCACTGCGAATAAATATAATGCTGCCAAACGAATACTACACTGATACCTTTTAGCCGCCGAATCAAATCACGTTATCACAATGAAAGCGATACTAAAAAAAAAAATTATTAATTTTAAAAAAATATCCTCAAAAGCGTTCTAACGTTCGGGCTTGGACACGTTGGCAAAATACAAATTGGCCTAATTTTTGTTAATGGTTTTTTTTCTTTTTATTCTTCAAAAATAATCTTCCAAATTTAGCCATACCGCATTGCTCCCAACATTGCAACCTCGAACCGACATTTTCCACAGATAATAATATTAATCCTATACAGAGAAAAAAAATATGGACCATAATTACAAATCATGATAGAACATCTAATAGTTTTAGTAAAAAAGCTAAACAGTTTTCGATGTGACTCGTCCAAACCCAGACAGACGGTGAGTCTAGTGGCCTGCGTATCATCTGAGGGGAAGCGTGGCCAGTGACGTCATCAAAACGAAGACCGCCGGCGCGGGGCTGACGGCGGCGCTATATTTGCTGCTTTGTTCGCAAGTTCCTGAAAAGAAAAAAAAGCATATTGAGTCAAAGACAAACAGCCAAACTTCAAGATCCTGTGTGAAATAAAACGTAAAGTCAATATTATTTGTTTTATAAGTGAAACTTCTTTAGGCGCGTTGAAAGTAAAATTCAATTAGGGACAGATTCGTTACGGCTAGAGAGAAAAGATACAATTTAGGACGAGTGAGAGTGAGCAAAAAGACAGAGCGTCTCGCGAACCACTCGACCGTGGAGAGAGGAGGAAAGCGAGCTAGGTCATTTCTCTTATATAAATTCTGTTTACGGGTGTCGGCCACTAGATGGCTTGTTAATAGTTTCTCATTACGGCAGTAGCAAATTAATTATCTTATATTTAATTTTCAAGGAAGAATAAAAAACATCTATATACAATTAAAAAAATACATAACTGTGTAAGAGGTCGTTTCTCTTATACACAGCATTCCGTATTACAGGAGAAATTTGATTTAAGAATGAAAAATGAAGAAAACCGCAGTACCACATACACACCGCGAAAGAAGTTTCACTTTTTTCACGTGCAACATTTTTTTTTTTAATTGACGGTAGTTATCAAGAATACTCAATGTCCACGGATAACGAACACCTGAATGGTCCGTTACCATTTAAACTGTAAAGTATTCGAAACATTAAAAATAATGAAATTATTATAATAATAAAAGAAAGATTAATTCTGTATTTTCAATTGTGTGTCTACGGAAATACTTCACGGCGCTTTCCTCAGAGGAATCTTCGACTTATCATGCCAGAGAGCTCGCCAGAGCGACACCTTATCGGCCGTTTACGACAAAGCTTCATCGCTGAAGGGCAAGGGACAATCGTGAATTAATCCCGGAGACAACGGTTACCGTTTAATGTTAGGTTGTAGGCCTTGTCCCCGGCGACGCCCGGCTGCACGGAGCGGTCGCACGAGTGGGACATCACGCTCAGCGACAACTGCTGCACCGTGCCCGCGCGCGTGTCTGTGGGCGGGACGACTTCATATGTACAGTGGACTGTGTCGCTGGGCACGAGGGTAGCTCGCGCTAACAGTAGGGGTACATTGCGTAGTGTAAACAGTAGGTGTGCATTGCGTAGTATAAAGTAAGGGTACATTGCGTAGTGTATTGTAAAGATATATTGCGTAATGTACAATAGGGGTACATTGCGTAGCGTACAGTAGGGGTACATTGCGTAATGTGTTGTAGAGATACATTGCGTAGTGTATAGTAGGGGTATTTTGCGTAGTGTAATGTAGACACATTGCGTAGTGTATTGTAGATATAAATTGCGTAGTGTAATGTAGAGAAACATTGCGTAGTGTACAGTAGGGGTACATTGCGTAGTGTACAGTAGGGGTACATTGCGTAATGTGTTGTAGAGATACATTGCGTAGTGTATAGTAGGGGTATTTTGCGTAGTGTACACAGTAGGTGTGCATTGCGTAGTATAAAGTAAGGGTACATTGCATAGTGTATTGTAAAGATATATTGCGTAATGTACAATAGGGGTACATTGCGTAGTGTACAGTAGGGGTACATTGCGTAATGTGTTGTAGAGATACATTGCGTAGTGTATAGTAGGGGTATTTTGCGTAGTGTAATGTAGACACATTGCGTAGTGTATTGTAGATATAAATTGCGTAGTGTAATGTAGAGAAACATTGCGTAGTATACAATAGGGGTACATTGCGTAGTGTACAGTAGGGGTACATTGCGTAATGTGTTGTAGAGATACATTGCGTAGTGTATAGTAGGGGTATTTTGCGTAGTGTAATGTAGACACATTGCGTAGTGTATTGTAGATATAAATTGCATAGTGTAATGTAGAGAAACATTGCGTAGTGTACAGTAGGGGTACATTGCGTAATGTGTTGTAGAGATACATTGCGTAGTGTATAGTAGGCGTATTTTGCGTAGTGTAATGTAGACACATTGCGTAGTGTATTGTAGATATACATTGCGTAGTGTAATGTAGAGAAACATTGCGTAGTGTACAGTAAGGGCACATTGCGTGGTGTACAGTAGGGATGGTGTGTACAGTACCGTTGGCGGACGGCGCAGTGTACACGAGGCAGGAAGCGCGGGGCCGGACGGCGCGCGCGTCGTACACCAGCACGAACCCCTTCGAGCCGGCCTGCCACGCTCCGTGACACGTATACACTGAACAACAAACAACTGTATTTTCAACATTGTTAAAAATAATCAATAAGATTTAACTATGTTACGTATAGTTTATTTTATATTGCTTAGATGGATAGGAGAGCTCACGGTCCACCTGGTGTTAAGTGGTTATCGATCAGACATCTACAACGTAAATGCCGTTACCCACCTTGAGATGAGTTCTAAGATCTCAATACAGTACAACGGCTGCCCCGCCCTTCAAACCGAAACGCATTACTGCTTCACGGCAGAAATAGGCGGGGTGGTGGTACCTACCCGTGCGGACTCACAAGAGGTCCTACCACCATTGTATAGTAAAGGTTAGTGGCGGCTTGCGGGTACTCTGGGGGCCGCGTACCTGTGCTGGAGCATGGTGAACGGAACTCGATGGAGTCCTGCGCGTGCCCGCAGCCGAGGCTGGCGCTCCGGTAGTCGCCGACGACGCACTCCGCCGCGCGCTGCTCGTCCGCCTCTTCATCACCTGAACAACCCAAATTCTTCACTGGAGCTCATTACGTCCTTACATTACGCATTATAAGAGACGCCCTCTTTTTTCTACCTAAGCTGAGAGCCTTGAGAAGCTATTTCAGCGTAACCTTAACTAGTAGGTGAGCTCACGGGGCTCGAACCTGACGACGATGCTAACACGAACCCTAGCAAGAGTCGTGCTTCGCAGAATCTACCACCGGATCGGAAACGCGACCCACTGAGAAGATCCGGCGAGAAACTCAGTGGGCTGTATGTGAGGGTTAATTTACTCGTCGAGCCCTTCCTCGCAAGCCACAGGTTTGACGAGAACGAGACGCCCTCAATTATGGAGCTGGACTATGCCAAGATTCAATACTCGCAGACGTGTACCGATTTTATTTTTTAATCTTTTTCAGCTGTTTTTAATTTTGTGTTTCATTGCTGGTTTTTTTTTAAGTAAAATAATGTATTTTTTATGAAACTATCGTTTCGTTTAACTGTACTAACACGATAAAGCGTAAATAATGCTAATAAAATGTTTTACAAATATGTTTTTTTTTTTAAATCAAGATCGATTTTTTTTCCGTCCCATCATCAAAGTTGTCATTAGTACTGTCGTCTGTTTTCCTTTTCGGAAGCGGTCTCCTAACACCCAGTACACATCGTGCCAGCTCGTACCAGCAAGGGTGACATGGGTCATATATAACGTAATTCCTGATGCTATCTATACATATTAACGATATTTCCTATTCACGCAATATTTCTTGTACAGTGCCCGTCGTTAATGTTCGCACTTCGAATTCTCGGAAAGGGAAAATCGGCTAAATTCGGCTTCGTAGAGCGTTATCTCTGTCGCACACTACCCGATGTGACGTTTGTACAGTCGATGTTCGACTGCGGTAGTGCTATTAACGAAATTATGCGTATTTTTAATATTTATTTGTATTTAATCGTATGTAAGTCTATCTTATATTGTATCTATTTTTCACATGTGTATATAAGTATATCTAATATATATATATTTTATATAACTTTATTGAGATTTAGCACCTTCCATGCTAATTTGCTTATTCCTCTCCCTGCAAGGTTGCCTGGAAGAGATCGTTTTCAGCGATAAGGCCGCCAATTTATGTCACCGACTATTATTTGTGTTATATGCTTACTCTGTACATGTGGTGTCAAATAAAGAGTTATATTATTATTATTATATTTCCTCGTAGGGTCTTTAACCGGGTGCTTACCTATGGTGAGCTGCTGCCGCCTTCTCCGTCTGTCGGCCAGGGAACTGACCACTGAGTACCGCCCGAGAATGGGGCAACGGGTGGGGGTCAATGAGGTTGCTGAAAATAAATCAAAGGCTTATAATAATAACCGGGTATAAGTCACATTTTATTACTGGTGGTAGGATCTCTTGTGAGTCTGCACGGGTAGGTACCACCACCCTGCCTATTTCTGCCGTGAAGCAGTAATGCGCTTCAGTTTGAAGGGTGGGACAGCCGTTGTAACTATACTTGAATTTACTCGTAGAGCCTTTCGTCGCAAGTGACGGGTTCGACGAGAACGATGACCGGTGCTTGAGGCACCTAAAAGCACCGTTAGTGGATCGGGAGGATCCGAGATGACGTGTTTGGGGCAACGTCGACTGCTTTCCATTCTGTCCGCAGGACCGGGAATGTATACGAATGCCCCGGACGTCTCATCTTTTAGGCCACGAGGTTCCGCCCTCGCACGTTCCGCATAGAAGGAGATGGAGACTTACTGATGAGGGTGACGTGTGGCGCGGCGAGGTGCTGGGGCGCGCATGCGTCGTGCGGCGCGTCCGCTAGCTGCCCGCCCGCCTGCAGCTCCAGCACGGAGGACTCGCGCCGGTGGAACTGCACGCACTGGTGACCAGACTCACTGTCGAACCGCATTAGCGTTAGAACCCCACTCTAACTTTAACCAAACTAAATGAACCATAACAAAAACGTAGGAAAACAGGGCTAACGGTATTCCCTTTCTTTTTCTTTACTTAAAGCATAATACTTCATGGTAACGCCCAGTTCATAATGAAAAATCTATTATGAATTACCCTTCCAATGTACCCTGAAAAACATCTTCACCCACTCGTAACTTGAGCACGCAAATAAAACTTAAGATCTGTGACTTTTAAACATGATTACGGTAGGCAGCGGTTTGACTCTGCCCCTGGCATTGCTGCATTCCATGGGCGACGGTAACCACTCACCATCAGGTGGAGGGTATGCTCGTCTGCCTACAAAGACAATAAAAAAACACTTAAGACTAATTGATGGCAGCATTGGTAATGTCCATGAGCAATACTGGCAACTTCTTCCATCGCAAGATTAGTTAATGATGTAAAAGATAAAGGTCAACACTCTTTCAGACTATTCAACAAACAATTGTGACCTCCTGTCCTAACACTACCCTCCCCCCAACCCCTGATCAAAATTCCGCCCCTGAATATTAGCGGTACTGTGTTATATCATGACGCTGTTATTGGATTTAGCATCTACATGAGGTTATCCTTCGAAGCTCCACGTGAATCTTAAAAAAGGTTAGTGTGTCATTCAACTTTCGGACCCTCCGAGGAACCAGAGACGTGATCTAATAATGCTGTGTATAAATGAACATTTTTGTTTCTCTAAATTTTAACTATAACCTAGACCCGCTGCGTTCATTCATGTCTTTAGAGATCAGAGACCTCCATGTACCATCCGGCCCTTGAATGAGCTACCCTCTACGGCGTTTGCCAAGCGCTATGACATGTTCTTCTTCAAACGAGGCTTGCAGAGAATACTTAGAGCAGTAGGCAGTGATTTTACTCCGAGCATTGCTAACGTCTGTGAACCAGGTCCAATGCCTATAAGGGCACTAGTCTCTAGCGACTAGTCACTAGCAAATAGGGACTTTTTTTTGCTAAGCAAGAGCAGTGAGTGCTTCGCAGAATCTACCACCGGATAAGAAACGCGACCCACTGAGAAGATCCGGCGAGAAACTGAGTGCGCTGTGTCTATAGGTTACTTCACTCGTCGAGCCCTTCGTCGCAAGCGACGGGTTCGGCGAGGACGGTGACCGGTGCTTGTGGTACCTAAAAACGCCGATAATGGATCGGGAGGATCCGTAATTACGTGTTTAGAGCCGAATAGGGACGGAAATCTTTAAGCATTTTATAAGGGTATTGAAAAAAATAACTTACCACCCCTTCGTGACGTGTGCAACAAGCTTAATATACTTCTTGTCCTTCTGCTCGAGTATAGAGTGGCACACCAGCCTGCGCTCCTCAAACGAACCGTCCTCATTGATTATCTGAAACGGGAACCGATATTTATAGCGAAGCGTAACTCGTTGATTGCTGTTTGTACGTAGGGGATTCCCCTAAATTTCCAAAAGAAATGCTGCGGCAACCCCGCACAAATTTGGGATAAGGGCGGGAAAAAGAAGTCAGGCGGACGCTCAAGCACAGCATCAGCTGCCTCCATCATTAGTCGACGACCCGATTCCTTTTGTTCAGATTGGTCAAGGTTTCATCAGGTTAATTCAGTTTGGTCAAGGTCAAATCTACATCAGTACTGTTCGCTAGATGGGCCGATTTGCCCATTCTCGGCCTTAATATTCGCAATAGATGTGGTTCTTATGCGACAAGACTGCTGTTTATTGACAAACCATGACGACATATCGACCAAATACGTTACGGGTACACATAACACAGGAGAAAATTGAAGCTTATGTGTCTTTCTATATGGGACATTTGGTGAGTGAAAATATCCCTGTTTCTGGTAAAGAACCGTAATGTATTTTGGTTGGCAGGGATTTTATTGAATAACCGGCGACTTGGCTATGTCCTGGACACTGCTTACGCCCACGACAACGTGCCCTTGGGAACAAAGAAGCACAGCTCACCTTGAGGGTAGCGTTTTTGGTGGTGAAATGGTACTGGTGCGTGTGGTCCAGACTGAACCATTTGTGGTGCTGCACGATCCAGCTCGGGAAATGGCAGCGGTTGTGTTCGTCGTCACCTGGGGACAACGAGACCCGTCATTGTTGGCGTCGGTTAGTGCGGCACTGGCACTTGCCGTACCGTAAGTCCGATTTTCAATACGTACTGCTGGTCAACTTCATAGTTCGACTTCCGTCCATCGGCGAGGAGAGACCGTTGCAGGTCGCGTCCGCGGACTGGGCTATCGTGTATGTCGTCGTTTTATCCGTGTGCTGCCCTTTGTAGATGAAACATCTGAAAGTAATATTTGAACTCTGCTTATGATTTTTGTTTCGGAGGCAGGCTTGTGGAGAGTATTAAGCGGTAGGCAGCAGCTTGGCTCTGCCCCTGGCATTGCTGACGTCCATGAGCGAAGGTTACCACTTACCAACAGGAGGTCCGTATGCTCGTCTGCCTGATTGGGCAATTTAAAAATAAAAAAGACCAGCTCAACTTATTAGTCTGCTGGCTACTGCCGAGGACACTCTTCAAACCTTATTTGAAGAAGGTTTCATTCAAAAACCGGAATGGACATAGCAACAATTTGCTCATCCACAGATGAGCGCAGCGGCTCTGTACAGTATGCACGTGTTCTGCTCGAGTGGCGAGAGATGCGATGGTAAAAAGGGAGATGAAGTGACCAAGTCAAGCAATTCCTCAGAGCATTCCTTAAAAGGCCCTCCAGAAGCGGCTTCCCTCGTGTAACGATCAGTTCTGTTCGGTCTGGTTTTTTAATACCTATTGATATATTTGAACGTATATAAGTATGCATCAGTCTCCGATTCCAATTGCACAGGGAATCCTAATTCGGGTAACCTTGTAGGCTTCGGCTCCAATCATTTCCTTTGCTGTGGCGGCCGGAGATACCAATATACATACTTTTACATATATACATTTATAGAGCATGAGCCAGTTTATCGATGCGTTACGTGTTCAACGTGATCCCCAGTACTGTGTCATGAACTTCTGACGAGGATCCAATAAGGGGTTGGTGCCTTCGGCTACATTTGCTGTAAGGTACTCGTGTTTATATAAAATGGAAGCCTCTCAAAATCTGTACATACCCGAATGTACCTATGTATGTATACGTCGATGTACCTATGTATGTTCCTTATAGGCTCCGAAATGACTGGATCAGTTACGATGAAAATTCCAAATTTCCATTTTTATACTAGTGGTAGGACGTATTGTCCCCACGGGTAGGTACCACCACCCTGCCTTTTTCTGCCGTGAAGCAGTAATGCGTTTCGGTTTGAAGGGTGGGACAGCTTTTGTAACTATACTAAGACTTTAGAACTCATATCTCAAGGCGGGTGGCGGCATTTACTTTGTAGATGTCTATGAGCTCCAGTCACCAATTAACACCAGGTGGGCCGAGAGCTCGTCCACACATCTAAGAAATAAAAAATTAAAAATATATACAAGGTCCCAACGATAATATTCGCATTGTCGCTCTACCGAGCAATTAAACCTGCTCGGAGGAACATCTTCGCAACCTAAGCAACAAAAAAATATTTAAAAATAATCCTCAGTTTAGTAGCAAAGCGCTTTGACTAGTAGCTCTTACGACCGAAACTCACCGATAAGTGTCTTCATCCGAAGCTATAGAATTCCTCCGCTGAACCTGCGAGATTTGTCCCACCAGGTACCTAGTGGAGCCTTCCTTCCACGTAGCTAGGCACACCAACTCTTCAACTGGAAACGGACACGATATACGCATTTACAATAGCTGACCCGGCAGACTTCGTAGTGCCTCAATCGATAAATAAAAGACCTAAGCTTTTGTATAAAATAAACTTAAAACTAACAAAAGGAATCCGTCCGACGGGGGACACATTAAAGGAAAAACAAAATTGTTATTTTTATTTAATTCCGAACATTTTCATATTTATATACCTTTTAAACCTTCTCTGGACCTACACAAATAATTTAATATCAAAATTAGCCAAATCGGTCCAGCCGTTCTCGAGGTTTGGCGAGACTAACGAAAAGCAATTAATTTTTATATATATATATAGATAGATAGATAAGACTAATGCAAATGGCGCTTTTGAATGTTCGGAACTTTATTACTGAGTCACCAACAAGAAGAATTGCTAAGAATTGCTTTTAACCGTAGACAGCGGCTAGCCTCTGCCCTTGGCTTTGCTAACGTCCACGGGTGACGGTAACCACTCACCGTCAGGTGGGCCGTATGCTCTCGTCTGCCTACAAAACCAATAATAATAAAAAAATACATTATATTACATACTACTCCTTACTATACGAATTAGTATTATATTTTTATATAATATAAAATTTTATTTTGTTTAGTTATACAGTAAATTCCGAGAAAAGATTTTTTTTTCGGCTTTTTATAGGTCAAAATTTAATTATTAGTGAGAAAACGTAACAGTATACTATTCGCGAAAATAAAATAAAAAATAATTTAAATTTATAAAAAAAGACTGACTTCAACAAAATAAGGTTATCAATGTCGACTACATTGATAAATCAATTAAACGTAAAAACCTAATAATTGAAAAAAAATCCAAGGCTAGATAACAAACAGCTCGCATAGAAAAAAAATCCGTCGAATTTAGAACCATTTCCTTTTTTCAAGTCGGTTAAGCTATCAAAAACATTTTTTTTAAATGAATAACATACATAACCTTGTTATCCTTAAAACGAACGCGTAGGACATATATGACATCACACAGTACCAGACTTCTGGCGTGACGTCCACCCTAGCCAAGTACTGCCGCGGTACTCGCGTGTGATATATCTCTCTTTCTCTCTCCGCCCCCCCCCCCTCTCTCTCTTTCATACATCAATAAGAAGCTAGGAGATAAGTTCTTATGAGATCAGCGTACCGTTGCTCTCCGAGCTGAGCATATCGGCGCACGCCATATACCGGAGCAGCAGCCGCGAATCGTCGGTACACGATTCGGCACGGGACAATGGGTACGTGCACTCTTCAGAACCTCTGCAATTAAAAAAAGTGTGAGCCATCGCGGGAAGGCAGATGTGATAAGGATGTGGGAATTGAACTCACGATCCTCGGCGCGACAGCCAAAACCGCTAACGATTGCATCACCAAATCAGTCAAGTTTTGCTTACACATAAAACAATTTGTTTATCGATGTTGTGTAATATTAACGTCTTGTAGTTACAAAAACACCCCAAAACAAAAGAACTATTCCGAATTCCAACAGTCTCTTCTTCAACCCATGACCAACCAATACTGAGTGTAGGTTCTCTTCGAAGGCTCCCCATTATTTTCGGTCTCTTGTCTTTCCCATCCAATCCCTACCAGCCACTTTGATCAGGTCATCGGTCCACCTCGTAGGTTGTCTACGTTAGGTCTCCACTCCAGTACTTTCGTGCCCTATGGACTGTCAGTGCGACGGCATATGTGTCTCCAACAGTAATTACAACTTATTCTAAACAAAAAAACGCTAAGGATGAACAAATTTCTTGCCGATAATATGTGAAGGTGAAGGGCGCCGGGTGAAAGGGGCAGGGCTGCGGCACCGGCTTCGGCTCCTTTCTGAACATGGAGTAGAGCGACGCGTCCCCGGTGATCGACTCGCACATTGACGACAAAGAGTCCTTGGAGTTGCAGTATGCTGTCGAGCAGACACACAGTAATTAGTTCGTTCCCATTGATCCCGTCCCTTGCGATGAACGGCTCGGCGAGTAAGTATCCCACAGACACAGCCCACTGAATTTCCCGCCGGGTTTTCTCAGTGGGTCGCGTTTCCGATCCGGTCGTAGATTCTGCGAAGCACTGCTCTTGCTAGGGTCAGTGTTAGCAACTTCGCCAGATTTGAGCCCCGTGAACTTACCTACTCGTTCAATAACGCTGATATAGCCTCTCAAGACTATCAGCATAAGTAGGAAAAAAATTATCATGAATCATCTTCTTTTTTTCCTACCTATACTGTTAGCCTGGAGGAGTTATATCAGCTTAAGAGAACGAGTTTGTGAGCTCACGGGGCTCAAACCTGACGAAGTTGCTAACACTAGCCCTAGCAAGAGGCGGGCTTCACAGAATCTATCACCGGATCGGAAACAGCGACCCAATGAGAAGATCCGTCGAGAAACTCAGTGGGCTGGGTCTGAGCGAGAATCATCGTTGTGATCCCGCTGGAAATCACTAACGATATACTTATGACATTAATAGCCTAAATTTTAGCACTATAGGTTTGTTACAACAAAATACGACCAAAACCAAACATTAGAAGGCAATAACTTTAAAATACCCTACCTATGGCAATACTGGAAATATAGCCCTCAGAGATAACCTTAAGAGAATTGACGTCAGATAGGCAGCCAGTCGTAAAACTCATGCCAAATCCCTCTGCAGCATCATACCAGGACATGCCTTGCTTATCCCACATAACCCGACAACGCATTACGCAAATAAGTTCTTTAATATTATGATAAACGTTGATCACTCACTCTCTTTGTACTGTAAGACGTATTTGTGTTTCTCGTGTATCACCATGCATCTGTAGCAGTCCTCATTTCTGAAACCAATACGGTGGGCGGATTAGAAATTTCACGTTTTCCCTTCAGTCGGATCGCATTGGCTGGTAGCTATCACGGGTTCCGAAGACTGTGACAGCGACTGCTTAGCAACGGGTAGCCCGTAAACTCGCGTAGGAGAATATACCTTATAGGTAGCAGAAATAGTGAATAACGTAGTATTTTTTCGGGATAAAGAGTTGCTAATGTCCGTATTTGGACTAATTTTGTTTCCCGTTTTATTCGCTGGTAGCCTAAGAAGGGGCTACTCCAGCTAGGCTGGGACGGGTAGGTGAGCTCACTGAGAGAATTTGCTAACACTAGCCTTAGCAAGAGCAGTGCTTCTCAGAATCCACCACGGGATCGGAATCGCGACCCACTGAGAAAATCCGGCGAGAAACTCAGTGGGCTGTGTCATGGGTTAGTTCGCTCGTCGAAGTCTTCGTCGTAATCGACGAGGACGGTGACCGGTGCTTGGGGGACTTAAGAGCACCGAGAGTGAACCCCCAGATTCACTCCGACAAGACATGTTTCGGGAGACGGCGGCTTTGCCTTGCCCCTTCGCGATCAGATAAGAATTGGACTACAAACCACGATGCATTCTAGCAGAAAAGTGATAGGCAGCGGCTCAACTTCTGAAGTTGTTCTTGTGAACGATCACCGATAACCATTCATCATCAGACAGGTTATATAATCGATTGCCTAGTAATTAATAAATCAATAAATCAACCTTAGTCATTCCAACGTAATTAAAGAACACATGAACAAAGTGTTTATAGCCTTAATAGACACTAAGTAAGGTCAGCGGAATTTATTCTTAAATGACATTAGATAAAATAGTCGTTTACGTTAAATTAAAATAACTTATAAGCCTTATTGAGCTAGATTGTAATCCTAGTATTGTGGCGCACCTAGATTTTTAAGCATTAAATAAATAAATCATTCTAACATATTTCCACGTCAAAGCAAACAGAGCTCTTAAAGCGTGACGTCATATAATTGTTCTGACCACAAATGACGTTACACGCAATGATGTCTCGTCCAGACGAGCTCTATGAAGTTTTCGCAGAGATATCAAAATAATATTTACTGTTGTTACCAAGTAATGGTATTGACCGTGAACAGTGAATAAACAAAAGGAACTAACCTGTAATACAAAAGGAATTTATCATTGGAGTCTGTCTCATAGCATTCCCCCTTCATCTGTATATGGGTTTTGTTGATTGTGATTAGACCCGGATTCCCGGACTGGAACCAGCTGCCCGTCCAGCCCTCTGGAAACGTGCAGCCGCCACCTGAAAACGAAACATATACGATTAAGTCCAAATACACCGATTGTGTAAAGTTTTAAGCTTAACAATTCCTTACACGTGAACTTATTCGTTGAGTAAGATGATTTTAAGCACACCCGATATTAAGATGTTGCTGCAGCATATGTAATTGGTCTTGTGACTTAAAACTGACCGTAACAATGATTGGAGATCGTGTAGAGAGATATAGCAGGACGTATAGAAAGATTATTCAATAATTGCGTAATGCTTACTGGTGGTAGGACCTCTTGTGAGTCCGCACGGGTAGGTACAACCACCCTGCCTATTTTTGCAGTGAAGCAGTAATGCGTTTCGGTTTGAAGGGTGGTGCAGCCGTTGAACTATACTGAAACCTTATAGCTTAAATCTCAAGGTGGGTGGCGTATTTACGTTGTAGATGTCTATGTGCTCTAGTAACCATTTAACACCAGGTGGGCTGTGAGCTCGTGCACCCATCTAACCATTAAAAAAGAAATGCTCTATACACGCCTTATCTTTGTCACCGAGGCATCTTACACTGACGAATAGATCTACCTATTCAAATATATTCCCGGTTGTCTTTCACGGTGAAGGAATGACATCGTGTAATAAAAATACGATCTTGTTTGAAATTTCGAAAAGGTTATACAATCAGAACGGTTTTTGCTGAAGTTAGGTGAAAGAACCGAATTGCTTATCATACCTACAAACTAGAGTCATTGGAGAAGCGAAATATCAAAGAAAGATGCATAGACGAATTTAAATTAACAAATTGGCCGAACCGCAAGAAAAATAAGCAGTAACTAAGTCGTATCCCCTGTGATTTTGGCTTGGGGAACGGCAAGGGCAATTATGACGACGACGTGTAATCTACTCTACATACCGGTCATCGCTTGCGACGAAGGGCTCGGCGAAGAAATTGACCCGCAGACACAGCCCACTGAGTTTCTCGCCAGATCTTCTCAGTGGGTCCGTTTCCGTTCCGATGATAGATTCTGCGAAGCACGGCTCTTGCTAGGGTTCGTGTTAGCAACATCGTCATGTTTGAGCCCCGTGAGCTCACCTACTAGCCCGGTGACGCTGATGTGGCCTCTCTAGACCATCAGCTTAGGCAGGGAAAAAACTGCTCTACACGTGCCATGCGAACGGGTAACCGGGGGTGGACAGCAAATCACGCTCCGAACATAGAGATGCATTACGCGTTAAACAAAATCTCATTTTTAATTTCTGCCCCAAACGCAGATTATTGGGCGCTTTTCTTGCTATACCGAAAACAAGCGGTATCAAATCTAGGATCTAGCAGCAGACCTTATCTCATGATTCTTTCCGATTACTCCACTTCGTCTGGTATTCAGTCCATGCGAAATGAGACTATAGCCATTTCCGCGTAAGATCCTTTACGTTTTCTCCATCGTAAAACACGTATAAACCTGGTAGTGAAGAACTCGTAAAGATGACGTTAAAACCGTGCTATTGTATAAGTTTATTGTGGTTTTATATCGTGCACACATCCGCGTCCATTGTACATATGTCGGACAGGAAAGCTGGATGCAGGAAATAAAATTGCGTGGACGCAAGGCTTTTCATGGGATTTTTAAATCCGATTAACTTGAAAATCTGCACACGTGTCGGGAGCAAATGAAAATACATTTCGTTACTTTTAACCTTTTTTATGATTGAAGGATTACTGGTAGCCAGGAGGGGTGGATTAGCTAATAGCTGCCCGAGCGCCTTCGAAGCGAAGGAGACCTAATACTCAAGAGCAGCTGCTTCGCGAATGAATCTACTAACGGATCGGAATCGCGACCCGCTGAGAAGATCCGGCGAGGAACTCAGCGGCCTGATGCATGGGTTAGGTTACACGTCGAACTCTTTGTCAAGTTCGACGACTGCCGTTACCGAGTTACTTTGACCCTAACACCCTGAACAGTATTAAAATATTATATGTTTTTAATATTTTGGTGGTAGGACCTCTTTTGAGTCCGCACGGGTAGGTACCACCACCCCGCCTATTTCTGCCGTGAAGCAGTAATGAGTTTCGGCTTGAAGGATGGGGCAACTGTTGTAACTATACTGAGACCTTAGAACTTACATCTCAAGGTGGGTGGCGCATTTACGTTGCAAATGAGTATGGGCTCCAGTAACCACTTAACACCAGGTGGGCTGTTTTCCATTTCCTTTCCGCTTTTAGATTATTATCGAGTCAGACGCATTTTGCTTAAAAAAAAAAATCTAATACCATTCTATAGCATCACATAATTGCAGAGAACTAAGAAGCCATAAAATAGGGTTTAAAACAAAGGACCTAGGCAATAATTGTGAACCTAATGTAGTTTTACATTTCCCGCTGTTCGTTCTCATTGACAGCTGTTATGAATTCAATGAGTCGTGGTGTTTGGTCCAAAAATCTATAAATATATAAATCGTAATGCGTATGTATGTTTGTTGCCTATAGGCCACGTAACGGCTGGACGAATTTCGATGGAATTATCAGGAAATCTTCGAGCCACCCTCTGGACCGGTGTTTCCCAACAAGGACCCCACGCCCCACAAGGGGACATTCTAATAATTAAGGGGGGCAATCGCACTAAATTAATATAGAAAATCTGTATTCAAATTATTTTGAATTTGAATTTCAGTTTTTTATTACATGTTTTGAAATATTACTTATAATTGTGTTTTTATAGCAATTTCATAGTGATTTCTTCCTAAAACCTATAATTATAATTTACTACCTAACTATAATTTATGTTCATTAAGTGAAAAAACCAATTTTTTTATGTTAAAAATGATGGATGAGGGGCATAAAAATTTTAGAAATGTTACAGTGGGGCATGGCACAAAAAACATTGGGAAACACTGCTCTAGACCAATATGTAATAATACATATACATATGTATGTCTTTATTTAACATTCACGAGGGTGGTAATGTTTTACTTTTGCGCATTCGTAGTCATTTTGCTTTCGGAATGGTTCATTTTAATATACTACTTTTTGGTTATCATCGGAAGCAGGACACCCAGACTGAATTGCTCGTAAGTAGTAACTATGGTTACGACTACCATTTTGGATAAAGCATTTGAGGACACTTTATAGGAAAAATTGTAAAAGGATTCATCTTTCTAACTTCCTTCTCATTTTCCACTAATCGCTCGTTTATTGCTTAGCTCGTGATGCGTTAGCTTGAGACACATTATCTTCCTAACTAGAGCGTTCTTCAAATCCAAGCCTCAACGTTGCTAAAAACGTTGCGATTCCCGCTTCAACTAAATAAGGTAATATAAAAGTTATAACAAAAATTAAAATCAAATATAAAGAAAATTTGTAAAAGGATTCATCTTTCTATCTTCCCCCTCATGTTCCACTAATCGCTCGAAATGCGCCAGCTTGAGACACATTACCTTCCTAACTAGCCTCTTTCAAATCCAAGCCTCAATGTTGCTAAAAACGATTCCGGCTTCAATTGAATAAGGTAATATCAAAACCATATACTTGTAAAAACGCTAGTCGCTTATGAATCGCTTCACATCCAACATGTTGAGCATTACTCAGTATTACGTGCGGGCTCGCATTGTTTTAGTGTAGCCAGGTGTTCGCGTGATCGCTACCAACCGCTAAGACCTTCATTCAGGTCCAGCCGGGCTCGAATAAAAGGAGTTACTCAATGCGGCCGCGTTTTATTACGACCGAAGTGCGGTAGGTACACCCGTTGAACGAAATTAACGGTTGACTTCACCGAAATCTCAGAAGCGCATTCTGCTGTAGACGCGTCCATGTTTATTCACGCGTGACCAAAGAAGTATTTGGGTTAAGTACTCAACGTAAGCGGCTCCGTCGAGTTGCCGCTAGATGTGTTGGAGCTACGTCATTATCGGCGATAGTAAGAACGTAACAGGCATTCAAAAACAGGGCGAGTTCAAGACTTCTTCTACTACGTGGCCTTATGTGGGGTCAGAGGAGTATGACCGCTTTTTTCATTCGGGCCTATCCTAAGTAATATCTGTATCGACATCCATCTCTGGCATATCCATACAGTCCATCCAAGTCTTAAGACGCCCGCTCTTCAAATTACCAGAAAAATTTAAAAGACCTCGACCACAAGCCGGACTCTGTGCTACAAAAGACATGGTCGCCAACTTATTAGTCACAGTATTTTAGAAACTACGGTCTCTTTCTGAAAACCTTATAATCTATATTTACTATTGAGCCCTGTTCTCAGAAGCTTATGCTATTGTAATGATAATATTTCTATGCTTTGCAGCTCTGAATAATCAATGCTATCGGTAGGAGCAATTAGAATTCTGCAACTAACACCTCCTTACTTTGTAAGCTTTAAATCAAGTATAAAGGAGGTGAGATTTTTCAAAACGCCCAAGCAACATCGAATATCCATCCGTTCATTTTAATCAGAGATCTATAAAATTTTCGCAAAACGAAAACGTAAATAAATCAATGTTATTAAAGTGACAATTTAATTAAATTTATTAAAATTCCGGTCCGATGACTGATGTTCGTATAGAAATAACAGAACGTTGTTATTCGCGAAAGCAGTGAAGATAAGACAAATCGTTGTGAATACAATTATTCATCAGAGCGTGGATATTAAAATCAACAATACATTGAGGCTACAGGTGGCATTTTGGCGGAGGTCCCTAAGAACCTCGATTGAGGTCAAGCGAACTGGCTGGTCTGGGAAAATGGGATAAGAGGAGTACTTGTCTTTAGGTATATTAGCGTCCGAACATTTTCTGGGCGAATGTCATGTTGCTTCCGAAGTTGAATGTTGCTGAAGTGACTACTTATTTCAGAAATCAATGCTTCGCCTTCTCAGCGAAGGTCTTTACTTGTGTGAATTCTTAGTTAACTAGCTATTATATTAGACTCGACTTCGCGCTTTATCATGGAGAATTGTCGTCAGTGTGGTTTCCCGTGGGAATGACTTTTTTTTTTGGAATATTAAACAGCCTATGTCACACACTTTTTTTTCTTTTCTTTTTTTTCTGAC